ACTCAAGAAAGCTAGTATTTTAGTCCTTCCAACCACCTTGGAACACCTTTCTTCTTCCTGTCTCAAAACCCAGCACTAACGATTACAGGCCTGTGGAAGGTTTAAAGGAACGGGTTGAACTATTTATCCTACAGTTCTAAAATCATAGCTCTTGGTATCCCCCCCCAAAAAAAAACCCAAGTTGTTTCTAAACAACCACTGAGACATCATTCATGGTACCCATGAACTGGACCCATAAGCATGGTACCCAATGAGTCAGGACCTGAGCAAGATGCCTGAAGAACACTGGGAGGTGGATATTTACTTAGGGCAAACAAGGCCAAAATGGGTATAAAGTACCTCCTTGTATTTGCAGATAGCTTCTTGTGATGGGTAGAGGCGTCTCCTACCAGATTGGAAATAGCACAGGTTATTCTAAAGAAGCTTTTGCAGAAATTAGTCTCTAGCAAAGATTTGGTGAGCTTTCTTAACTTTGCCCTCTTATGGCCCGCTATATTCCTTATAGAGGGAGACTTTCTCCATTTGAAATTCTTTTTTGGGAGACCTCTTTTTCCCCTACCTATACTACAAGATGTACACTTAGCTAAAATCTCTAACCATTCCCTTCTCAACTCTCATCAGGCCCTGCAACAGGTTCTTCAACATGTCCACAAAACTGAGAGACCAAGCCAAGAGACTCTGGTCTGACTCCCCATACTTATCAGGTCAGTGACACTGTCTGGAATAAGAGACATTATCCAAAGACACTTGAGCCTCATTGGAAGAGACCATTTCCTATGGTCTTCACTATACCTACCACTGTTAAGGTTGCTGAAATTGCTCCCTGGATCCATCACTCTCAGTGCCAATAAGCAACAGACACTTCTGAGCCTTGGACCATCACTCATTCAGTGGATCCTTTAAAGGTTAAATTCACCAGACTCTCAGAGGTGGATCCAGGTCCACAATTTCCAGACAAAACATAAAAATGCCCTAGTACTATCACATCTTTCTACTGAGTCTTCCCTGCTTGGACTGCCCAACTCTAGAACATCAAAAAAAAAAAAAAAGAAAAGAAAAAAGAAAAAAAGAAAAAAGAAAAGGAAAAATAAAGAAAGAAAATACTTTATTCTAGGGCAACATTTACATGGGTAAAACTAGCTCATATAATACATACTACTGGCTTCTGCCTTTTACATAAAAGAGGATTTGAATATTGAGAGTATTAGGCTACTGTCTTATTCCTGTTTGTAAACCTGTCCAGAATATTGCTTTGCTAACCCAACCATGTTTAACCCTTCAACAGGTATTCTTAAACCTATCATTTAAAGATTCTTACAATTGGGGGTTGGTTTCTTATTACAAAGCAGAAGATGCAATAGAACTCCATACTTCCTATGTTTTAGTACATACAAATGACACATGTGCTAAAATACAAAACTGCATCCAGAAACGCTTACACATACTCAAGAGACAAATAATTGTTTCCCCAGCGAGGTCATCTTCAACAGAATAAGCCATATTCCTTTGCCTGAAGGACAATTTTTCACTTACGAACATTACACTTATAATTACATTCCTCCTAACTTATCTCATACTCCTGCTGATATTTAAGCAGACTATTATTTTCTCAACAATCCAGGAATAAAAAGCCCAGTAAGACACAAATGTAGAGACAGTAAACCCGACTGGAAATGGTTGGTAATATAGCCCTCCTCTCAAATCTGATGCTGTGGCCATCCCACTCTCTGTGATAGGTCTCCACATTCTGGCTGTATACATTGATGAACAGCTTAGCTGGATGGCCTGTAAAATAGCCGAAGGTTTAAACTATACCTCCATGGCTATTGCCTTATTAAACAAAGTACAAAATGTTCATTGACAGGCTATAATAGATAACAGGGCAGTATTGATTACCTAGTGCTACTGCACCATCAAAAATGGCAAGAAGTTTGGAAACTGCTGTTTTAATCTCTCTGACAGTACCAATTCAATTAATGAAACAAAAAAAATCAGTGAGTTATAAAAACTTACAGAAAGAATAAGTTTTTACTCAAGATGGGTACTGGGCATATATAACAGAGGACTGCATTGTCTGGCCTTAGTGCAAAATGATGTGCCTAATCCTGTAGAGACTTGATGCCCTAGGGAAGGAGGATGCTTGTGGGTGGGGGAGTGGGGGGAACACCCTCTAAGAGCCAAAGAAGAGGGGGATGGTGTGAAGAACTATGGGAGGGGGGATCAGGAGGGGTAACATTTGGAATGCAAATAAATAAAATTAATGTAAGAAAAGATAGGTGCTGGGATCTGACTGGATGGCTCACTTCATGGTTAGCAACATTTTACCTGGGTAAAGCAGGTGTTTACTACTGTCTTGTTGTTTTATATCTTTTGTATGTCAGTATTTACCCTTTTATCTTCTGTCTCACAATCAAAATAAGACACTTTAGATACAAGGAGTCCTAAAATTAAATCCTACAAACTATGAGTTGACAATTTGGCTTATTCTCCTAGAACCAGTGGGGAATGCAGTCGGCTACTGAACTAGTTATACCATCTTGTGAAACCATTCTTAAGAAAAACTTTAAGTGCTAAAATTATCTGGGAAAAACTGGTCACTTATCACTTAAATTTCTACACAATGTGTCCCTGACTCCAAGGTTATGAGAATAGCCTAACCATTTAGCTGCTATCTTTTGTCTTCTGCAAACAATGGCAGCTTGCTTCCGGCAGATGTCCACAGCTGGCATTCTGTATGACCCACAGTTCCTGGTTTTGCTTTTAAAAGCACAAAAAAATTGGAAGTCAGGCTCTTCTGTACCCAATGCACAGGACAGCCCCACTGGTGGAGAAGAAAGATTCTGTATTACGTATTCAGGCCTCGCAGGTGGTCTCTCTTTAGGTATCTCCTAATAGTAGTTGTCCTATGAATTGTATGAGATGAAGAAACTATAGCACTGGACAACAGCCAAGGATATATAAGGGAAATTTGATAAATCACTGTAATAGCAGAATCATATTTGGGTGTAATCTCTGTTGTGTATTATTCTCCACCATGAAACAGATGTTCACAGTGGCAAGAGTTTTTGCAATGTACTTAAGGGAACATATGAGATAGCATACAGATCTAGAATAAAACTATTCCCATCCTGACCTGATGTCCCTTAACAGTTGAGGGTACAGAACTGAAAATGTAAAAATGTCATTGAATAGTCTCTTTTTTCTTTGTTTATCCATTTTTGAAATTCTTGTTGCTCTATGTATTTTAATTCAGTACTTTGATCAAAAGGTCACTCCTTTACATCAGATGCATGTTGGTATATTAAGAATAATACTGCAATAAAAGTCAGTATACACCTCATTTTAGGAGCAATGGAACAATGTCGACTCTAGAAGAGGGATTTAGAATCAACTCATAACTTACTAGCCCTATAAACTATTAAAAACCATTCTAAGCCTCTCTTTATCCACTGTGTTGTGCAACAATTTACCCTAAGTAAGGACTGGAAGATTTAAACATTCCATTCTACGAGAAGTTCCTTAATAGCTTCAGGAAGGTCCTTTAAAATGGAGGTAAACAAAAAAGCTTCAGCAAGTCCCTGAAACTAAACAGATTTACTAGACACCTCCCCTTTCAAAGAAAACAATAAAAGCTGAGAGTCCCTCTCAGGACAAGATGAAGCAGTACTGCAAATAAGACTCTTAAGACAAGACAAGCTGCCAAGACTCAAACAAGCTGTGTAGCAAAGACATTCAGAGGAGAAAAGATGCTAAGATGATTCTGAGATCAGAAGAGCTACCTGGAAGAAGCAGAAATCAGACAAGCTGCTTGGAAGGGGTTTAGACCAACTGAAGCACCTGAAAATGATCCTTTACAGCTTGTTGACCTGCCCAGAGGCTATGCAGTATGGTCTAGGTTCACAGCTATTTTGACTAGTCACCCATGAGGAGGGGTTTTTGAGATGCAGCTATCTTTGAATCATTTCTGCTCCTGTAAGCAACCCCTCAGCCATATTCTGTAATTAACTCCAACAGAATTCATGGTTCCTCGAGTTGGATATTGGCATTATCTGCACTTGGGTATGTTGTAAGCTTTTTATCTGGGGAAAATAGGCATGTATTATATAACCACAGGAAGAAAATATTGTGGCACAACATTGAGAAATGAGTATGAGAGGTGTCTTCTTGTAGAATTGAAAAACAGGACTGAATGGGCAGCATTTTGCATTTAGCTGCCTTGTATGACTGTCAGAATATGTGAGAATCAATAATATAAACATTACAATTTAATTCATTGATATCTATCCACCTGACATTAGTTTTCTACTTTTACATTAGATGCCACAGAGTATACATTGTATTTGCAATAAAATAAACAATCAGAATTTTTTTCTTTCAAAAATTTGTTTTAAAATGTTTTCTCTCAATATGCCACAAAATTCTACTTATTTCATTGGGAAGGGAATCACATTTCATTTTGAAGTGTAATGCCAGCTAGACCTAGAATCCACCACTGCATAGGCAGATGCTAGATCTACTTACAATAAATATCTTCAGTATAAAGTCTGAAATGTTCCCAAGACTGGATGTTTAATGTTTATGCAGAACATAAGTCTTGGGGGAAAAAATCACATCTGATTCATTGTGATTGAATTTCTTATGCATTCTTTAATATCAAAAACAAATGGAAGGGTATAAGCTCAAAAATAGTAACTTCAGTTAACAATCCAACAAATGACTAAATGTTACTATTGGTCATTCTCAATATTTTCCTACAGATTTTTCTATCTCCAAGATTTTTTCTGTATAAATGCCAGGTTCTAATTTGTATTTCAAATTGATAAACAGTTTGAACATTAAGCTTGATAAACAGAAATTAGGCACAGTTTACAAAATTTATCAATATACATTCTAATTCCAAGTGAATATTTTGCTAAAAGACTCCAAAACTTTACCAACAACATTTTTGCAAAAAAAATGAACAGACTTCTTCAGTCACATACCAGAGGCTACCTTATATCTCACTTGCCAGTAGGATTGCTCAACTTGGACTTAGAATGTCTCTTGGCTTTGCGCTTCGTGCCAGCCTTGGCTGCAGCTTCAGCTTGGGCTTTCTCTTCTTCCTCAATCAAAGCCTGTTCATAATTAGATGAGTAAGCACTGGGCATGGTTTCACTGATCTTAACTAAAAAGTCCAGCACTCTTCTCTTGCTGGATTCAACATAGGCTCTCGGGCCCCATAGGAACTCATAGGAGGGAGGGTCACTATCAGGAACCTGACGGTATTCTAGGTACATTTCCTGCACTAGATCTTCAGTGATGAGCTTCCTGACATTCCCAAAGATGAGGTGTGGGACCTCATCATAGACTCCTAACATATTCAGGAACTTCCAGACCTCCTTCTCTGGGGCACAGTAACCATTTAAGTAGATCACACTTAGGAGAGGGATCAGAATGCCCCTATTGGGAACACCCATCTCATTACTCTCACTTCCATCATCCTGGAAATCTAGCTTACTGACAAGAGTGTAGGTTTGACCATGGGGCTGGACTTCTTTCAACTCAATGCCAAAAACCATATCCAATCGATGGGAGGCTTTCTTGAAGATATCAGGGAAGTGGTTCTTGAACCTTTTGTTGATGACTTTGAGCATTTCTCCCCTCCTTGCAGGCTGCTTAATTTTGTACTTGCAGAGCATGTACTCTACCAACAGTCCCGTCTTCTTTGATAGAAGATCCATGTGTTTGCTTCCAGAGGAGAGCAGGGACCTACAAGAACTACCATTTTTCGCTTCTTGGCCCTTTGCACCTTTACCAGACCTTTTGTGGGCCATGCCTTTACCAGCAGAGGTGGTAGGTGCCTTGCCCTGAGGGAAGCCAGCAGTAGAGCTGCTAGCAACAGCATCTCCAGAATCATGATCAGAGCAGGAGGCTGACTCTCCTTTCTCTGCTGCCTTGGCTTCAGCATCCTTGAGCCTCTGGGCTTCTTCCTGGACCTCTCGACGCTTCTCACGAGCACGGGCCTTACTCTTCTTTCCTCTGGGCATGCTGTGGTCAGGAATAGAAAGCAGTATTTGGGTAAAAGAGCAGGTGATCTCACAAACTTGATCAGGAAAATAATACACCATAAGCACTTTTTGGAGATGCCAAACATCTCAACCTAGGGCTTCAGGATTCCTAAGAAAACTCTGTGTAAGTTTTCCAATCTGCCCACTTTATTTTTGCTATTATTATTATTATTATTATCATTATTATTTTGGCACACGGGTACTTTTTTTTCATTTTAAAGCAGGCATCCAAACTTTACAATATACTCAAGCAGTCCCTCCCTCCCTGGTGTGCATACTGTGTTGGTCTTTTATTTTAAAGAGGGTATCCAAACCTCAAGATTTTCTGAGGCAGGGACTGCCCACTCACACATACTGTGAGGGCCTTTTTGTGTGTGCTTTTTAAAGAGGACACGGAGACTTCATGATATCCTGAACCAAGGACCATTCACTCATACATACTATTGGTCTTTTTTTTTCTTTTTTTTTTTTTTTAAGAGGGCACCCAAACCTCACAATATTCTGTGAGAGGACTGCTTATTCACTATTGTATTGGCGCTTTTTTTTAAAAAAAAATGAGGGCACCATCCAAACCTCGCGATATTCTATGGCAAGCACTGCCCACTCACATATACTGTTTTTGTTTTTAAACAGGTCACTCAAACCTCGTGAGATTCTAAGGCAGGGACTGCCCAGTCACACATAATGTGCTGGTCATTTTTTTTGAAGATGGCACTCTAATCTCGTGATAATCTTCACCAAGGACCTCCCACTCACATCTTTGCTCACCCTTATTTTAAAGAGGGCACTCAAACCTAGTGATAGTCTGAGACAGGGACATCCCAGTCAAATACTTTGCCGGTCATTTTTTAAAATATTTATTTTTAAAGAGGGCACTCAATTCTCACAAGATTCTGGGGCAAGGATCTCACTCTCACGTGCTTGTCTTTTTAAAGAGGAAACTCAAACCTCAGGAGATTCTGAGGCAAGGACTGCCCACTCACAAACTATGCTGATCCCCTTAAGACAGCACCCCAACCTTGCAAGATTCTGAGGCAGCACTTACCCCAACCCGTGTTCATACCGCAGGGTCCGGGGGGGGGGGGGGGGGGGGGGGGGGGGGGGGGGGGGGGG